CAATAGTAAGCAAATGAAAAACAGTCACTGGTCTCGTAAGGGTGCTGAACCTCATCTGTTTTCCATAGGTTTTTTTTCAGACTTCTACCAACCAACTGCATGGGGACTTTGTTTCTCCTTTTTGTTCTTTATTTCGTACTATGGTTGGATACTCTTGATTTCAGTCTAAATATTACCAACTTCTTCATGAAATAAAGGGATTATTTTACCTATGTCTGGCCCTGGCCTGGCCCTTAGAGTCATAAAGAAGAAACGGTGTATTTGCCTACATGTGCTCACTGGTTAAGGACCTGCATGGAAAAAGCTGACAGGCAGGCTGTGATATTATTTCATGTTTTTATCCATCTTGTACTAACCCACAGAAATTGATTTCTCTCAAATCAAGCGTTTATATGTGGCTTAGGAGGTAATAAAGTATTGCTTTTTTTTTTTTTTAAATTTAAATGTAGGTTGCCTATTTAAATCTTTTATCTAGGATTTCACTAATTGTGTTCGAAAAGTCATTGTAGGTTTGATATGTGTTTTGTTGGTAGCAGTGTAGGCTTAAAGAGCTTTTTACTTATTTTGCTTACATTCTACTCTTCCACTTGTCCTAATGCAGTTGTTTATGGGCAGGGGGGGCTACACAGTGAACTTGGCTGGGAAACTGATCCCGTTAAAAATAATCTTTTTTATCTGGATATTAATAACTCAGATCAGTTCTGGCATCCAGTTGGCTGTAGTACTCTACAAATGATTGTATCTGCAAAAATGAGAAGCATTAGGGAATGTTTCTGAATCAGCAATGCTATGAAGCTATGGCAAAAACTGTTTCTTTTAATTTTTATGTTGGAAGGTCCTGACTGGATGCTGCCCTGAGCCTGCTTTGACTCTTTAGCATCTTTTTGTACTCTCTGACTTTCCATAAGTGCCAGATTTTCATTTGCAAGCATAACTTCTTTGTATATTCTGTGTTTCGAAAACACAAATTTGGAGTCAGTAACGGGGTCTCAACTGCTTGTGGCAGATAAGCATGTTACTGGTGAAAAATAATCTGGACCCAGATGTGGTAGCTATACATTTTTAGAGTCGGTTTAAGATGGCCATTTGTAAGTCTGAATGTGAGTATGGCCACTTGTTACACAGAACAGGTGCATTTTTCTGACCCTGTGTTACAGAGAAAGTGGAACTGGGGAGGTCTAGTCTGATGTCTTTCTGCTGGAAGCACTGGCTGCATGCTTGAAGGTGGAGAAAAAGGCTCTATTGTGAACATGGCCTGAAATAGCTGGAGAAGAGAGCATGTGAAATGTTGGGGATCTGTTTCCATCTGCTGCTTTAAAGACACTATAAACCAGTTATATGGGTTAATACAGAAGGTCTGTGAGATGGGTGGAGTTTTCTTCATTGGTTAATTTTTTTTTTTTCAATTGCTTAAAACAGACAAGACCGAAAAGTCTTCAACATGCTTATTAATCTCAGTTACATAAAAAGGTACATACAGCTATATTTTTGCCTTCTGAGTTACCTATCAATAAAATCCTGAGGCTTATACATTTTGTAAAATATAATTGAAATGTTGCTCAGCATTAAACAGTGCATGCAAGTAGCAGGATACACAATATAAACTTGAAAAATCTTCTTGAATTGCATAAGCATCTAAAATGGAAAGAAGTATTTGAGCCATCTAGTGGTTGATATGAAACATTTTAACATTTTTTGATAGTTTGTAGAAAATGTAAATGACATCACTTGGAAATAGCATTTCTCGTTTGTCTGCTTTTTAGTAGCATGGCTGTAGAATGAAAAAACCCCAGACATTCCACTTCAAATTTGAGGTACAGTCTGTTTTATTTTGAAGCTTTTTAAAATTTTTTGTAGATTTTAGTGAAAAGAGAGATCTGATAACATAAAATGACATTAGAAGTTAGTAGCCAAAGAGTGAGTTCTGTTAGCATGAGATCTATAGAAATTGTGAGGGTTGTTAAGAAGTTCAAGAAAGGGGTTGTAAGTTAATTTTATTTTCTACTTCTTACTGAAAAATCTTTGGAGGGAAAAAAAGTGGGCTTGTGTTCTACCTTACCAGCTATTTATAGTAGGATTTTGCATAGCAGAGATTAAATTTAAAAAGTCATCTTCACTGGAAAACATGGGACAGATTTTTTTTTTTGTGGTAAACTTGCTCAAATAAAAGCAACAGAGCAACTGAAAGCAGATTCCTTAAGATGGGGTGTGTTCCTGGTAAACAGTCACAGAATCTTATGCTGTTAAGAAAAAGGATGTTTTATAGATGAAAACTTCATGTAATTATCCCACTTGGTCCTGATATGCATTAAGCTGTTCTAGCCTTTTATAGTGCCTGTTGCCATTAGGAACTTGACTACACATTGAACTTGGTGGTATTCTGCAATCCAGGCAGAAAAGTTAGTTGCTAAAGTAATGAACTTTATTTTCATTTTGCCTTGACTTATTTGTGGGAAAATATTGCATGCATTGAAACACTGTACTATCTTCCAGTCCATGTGAAAGTCCCATCCAGATCCAAACGCAGATTAAAAGATACTTTTTAGTCTTTATTAATACAAATCTAATAAACAGTCAACAAGCAGTACTAATGGTGTTACATATGGTTAGAGCTATAGTATTTTGGAACAGATAAGTGTTATCTATACTGACATTTCAGAATTTTCACCTTTACATTTCAAGTAAAGTATTACAGAGTCTTAAACCGTGCCCTGTTTTTTATTGAGAAGACCATGGTAGTTTAACAGATTTTTAAGCTCAATCTGAAATGCTTTGTAAGGCCAAATAAGAATGAGAGAAAAATGGGAAAACCAGTCACAGAACAAAGGACAGAGCAGTAATGGTTAACTGGTATTTTATGGGGGTGGGGGCAACCTGAAAGCTTCATGTGAATTTGATATATTAATTACGTTTGGACAAATCATCTATATTATGGTCCTGTTGTGCCTTGGAAGTTGATTATTATTAACCCTTAGGATCAAAATATCGCCTAGATTAATCTTCTGAATCTGTAACTCATTTGGACTGTAGATTCTAATAGGTTTCAGAAGAGGAAATTAAATTCTTCGAAGATTGAAGAGGTTTTAGTTGTCTTGGCATATTTTTGCTTGAATTTTGCAGTGTGGTGATGAAGGATTTTTGTTATTACTATTATTCTCAATCTTTACGATGATCTAGTCTTGATTGCGGTTGGTGGATCTCCGAGATAACACTGGACAGTTTTGTCGAGTTCTGTTCTACAAATGAGCCTGACCCGAACAGAATAAAGATTATTTTTGTGCGCTGTATTTTGCAGACTTCCGTGTTGCATTCCTAAAAATCTCTCTCTATCTTACTTCTTAATTTAAAATTACTTTAAATCAAGGCATTATGTGTGCTCAGTTTTTGAGCTTGCCTTCTTTCCTAGTCTGTTGTTGCCCGAGCATGCTTAGAAAGCAGGAAATACATGGGGGATGGAATTAGAGATCTTTTATCTTTATGATGTCCATGTTGTGTTTTTGTTCAATTAAACAGGAATGTGGTTTTATGGTAGTATTAAAGTGTCATCTTTTATTGTTTATGTACTTCCCCTTCCACTCCCCCTGTCAACATCTTCCAGTGCTCTGACTGCAGTGGTATCTGGTCATGCCACAGCATTTTCTTGGAAGCTGTCCATTGCTGAAGCTATGATCCAACTGTATTCAT